GAAATATGTATGTGAATATATAAGTGAAGGTGTACATGGATGTGCATATGAATATACAGATGAGTATGTATATGTGTATGGAAGCAAATACATATGAATTAGAACTATGTGTCTTCTGCTCATATGGGGATGGATCACCATGTTCTCTGCTTGATGAGGTGAGTAGATTTCCATACTCTCCACACCATAGGGACTGTTGGTTACCAAGGAGAATAAAACCATGTGTCATTTACCCCATGAGAGTAGAAGATCCTTATGCTGCACACCTGGTAAAGGCATTAGAATTATTTATGTTTGAATTGATCAGGAGAGTTGATAAATAAATACTCCATCTTATGAGCATTATAATCTATCTATCTATCCATATATCTATCTATCTAGATAGATAGATAGATAGATAGATAGATAGATAGATAGATCCATATGAGATTTGATATCTAACTTTCTTGGTGGTGAAAAGGAAAATACAGAAAAGTGAACCAGGACCTCCTGTACTGGAAAGAAAGGGGGTGACATTGGGAGATAAGAAAAATGGAGGAGGGGCTGGGGTTGTGGCTCAGCAGTAGAATGCTCACCTAGCACATGTGAGGTGCTGGGTTCAATTCTCAGCACTGCATGAAAATAAAATAAATAAAACAAAATGTATTTGAGTCCAACAAAAATTTTAAAAAAATAATTAATTAAAAAAACAAAAATGGAGAAAATAAAATGATAAAAGGAACAAGAAATTCTACAACAAATGGAATTTCTACCAGTGGGCTGGAAGAGAGATAAAGGGCATCCTTCCTGAGTGTGCCACTTATTTCTTCATGGTAGTGTTTATTACTTCTGTCAATCAGTCTTGTTACTCCAGGAGTCCTGATGTTGGTGTTCTCCACCTCCTGTCACTCGAGTCCTCTTTGAATGCGGAGGGGATCTGTTCTCATTATTGACTGCTGTTCCAAATCAGTTAATTGTCCTGACCCAGTTAATATCTCTGCCGTAAGATCAGTCCCATGTCTCCAGTTATTTTCTGCCTGCTTAGTGCAGATTTCCATCCAATTAGATCTCCACAGTAAGTAATTACCTCCAGAAAGACATCCTTTAGCTAGTGTGACACAGTCATGGGGTGGCAGAGCCTCACTACAGATAAATTCAATAAGAATTTGAACAACAGGCAAGTTGAGGCCCTTCATGGAATGAACAAATTTTAATTCCTTTAACGTTTTAAAAGGAACAGCAGCATGAATTCACACTTGTTGGTTTTGCTCATTTATCTGTTCAAAAATTGGAAAGAGTTTGGGTGGGTGCTGGGGCTCAGTTCTAGAAACTTGCCTGGCATGTGTGAGGCCCTGGGTTCAAATCTCAGCACTGTATAAAAATAAACTAAATAAAGGTCTATCAACAACTTAAAAAATGTTTTAAAAAATTGGAAAGTGTTTAAATCCTGCAATAGCTTCTCCTTCCTGTAAGGTGGTCCTGAGACCACCTTGGAGTGGAGACAAGATTGTGATTGTCAATGCAAAGAAATCAAGCCCAAGTTTCCCTTAAGGGACAGGAGGAACCCCAATAGTTGAGGAAGGACTATTTAAATATAAATTGCTGATGTTCACTTTCAACCCAGACTCCTCCTCTGACTTAGCCTCCTCCTCTGAATCTCCTGAAGCAGACTTTCCCCCTTCATCTCATTGAAATTTGATCTGTGCTATTTCCCTTCCTCGCCTGCATCCAGGTCAATGAATTTTCCTCCTGCTTCTGTAATTGGCTTGCTCAACTCTGGTCTGCTAACAATGGGACAGGTTTAGATTTTGCCCCAAGGCTTTCTCTCTGAGGTTTATCAGTTACAAATTGGGCATGACTTTGTTCTGCCCTTAGTGTTTCTTCCTGCCTTTGGCACATCACATTAGCTTCAGATAGAGAAATCCTTCTTGGAGCTGGGCAAGGCTTCTTGCCAGGTCCTATGCTTCTGGCTGCATCTCTAAGTCCAATGTGTAAGTCTTCTGATGACCTCTGGCCAAAATCTTGGTCCAAATGTAAACACATTTCTATTGCTGTCTACAACTTCTGTATGTTCTCGATCATAGGCTGAAATGCAACCTTCAAATAGTCTCCTACAGAACCTCTCCCAAGTATGTAAATCAGCTGATTCCTCCTCACAAAATCATAGGCAAGTGTCCCTAATTATTTCAAAAAACTGAATGAGCTGGACTCTTTGTATTTTTTTTTTTTTGCCTAATTATTGTCTTCAGAATCTTGAAATAGATGACTCTCTCTGAAGACAAAGAATTCCACATATTTAATTATTTTTTTAACATCTGACTCACTTTTCTCTCTCCTGGTACTTTCAAGAACCAATCCACAATACTCTGAAAATATGAGCACTCTTTTTGTATTGGAGAGAAAGCCACACCCATTAGGTACCTTTAGTCCAGGAGGCCAGTGGTCTCTGTTCCGTGTGCTACCTATTGCCCACATGCCTTGTGGGCAATGGAATTGAGATCAACCTGTGGGGCTTAGGCTGGCAATGAAAAGACCACAGAAACACAGATGTACTATTTTCACAAAGCAGGGATTTGGGTCAAATCTATGACCTCAGGGGTCCTCCTCCATGTCACAAGGCAAGAGAGCAAGAGACAGAGGGTGCACCCGGAAACCCTCTATTTGTAAGAGAAAAGACATGTAATAGAATATTCCACCCAAATAAGGCAGAGGATAGTGTTTCAAAAGAGTTGTTGCCCCATCCCATTGGTTAAAGCTCAAGCCCAGACCTGAGGCACTTCCTTGCCAAGTGGAGGTAAAGGCCCCCGGCTTTGCACAGTGTGTGGCATGCAATGCCCGTCCAGTACCCCCATTACCCATGGGGGGGGAGTCTTAGCTCGTGCTCAGGGCAGCTCCCAACAACTGACTTTATTTTTGTGACAGTTATGTAGTAAATTTGAATTCACATAATGCAATCATCAGAGCCTTAGTCTGCATGGCAGGTGATTTTGGAACAATTAGTTCTCTCTCAGGCTTTGTTTTTGCATCTTTAAGATCAGAAATCTTCCAACCAGGACTCAGAATCCTGGAAAGGTGAGGACAAAGTAAATACTGAACCAGGAATTGTGCCTGACACAGTTGAGGCTCTCAATTTCTTGAATTCAGTGCTACAATCCATGTTTTGGTTGGTGATGCAAAGTACATCTGAGAGTCTGTAACTCCATAGTTCCTTTCTTTTTTATTTCATTGTTCTTTTTAGATATACATGACAGTAGAATATATTTTGGCAAATTATACATGCTTGGGGTATAATTTATTCTAATGAGGATCCTATTCTTGTGGTTGCACATGTGTGAAGTTACCCTGGTCATGTATTCAAATACAGAGCTAAGAAAGTCATGTCTGATTTCATTGGTTCCTTTCTGTCACCTTGAGCTATAGTTGAAGAGACTTTAGTGTTTTCAGGATTGCCGCAGTCGGGCTGGGCACAAATGCCGCAGTCTGGCTGGGCAGAGAAAGAGAGCCCAGTATATAATGTGTGATGTAGTTACATTTACAATGTTGTGTACAATGTTGTGGTACAATTACCCCAATTCACCTTGTTTCAAACATTTAATCCCTGCCTGGAAGAAAACCAAGTATCTGATAAGCAGATACTGACTCTCATGCCCTCCAAGGTCCCGGCAATCAAATTTCTTCTTTCTTATTCTAAGATTTCCAGTTGTTGGATACATCATATGAATGTAGTTAAAGCACATGTGAATTTTCATGTTTGATTTTATTTACTTCACTTATCATTTTTGAGGTTCATTCATGTTGCAACCTGTGTCAATACTTCATTTTTATGGCAGAGTAATATTTAAACATAACTCTAGATGCTATATATAGTTGTATATTTGCTTACATGAATATATCTATATGTACCTGTGTTTACTCAGGCAAGTAAACATACAAATACATACACATTTGTTTATCCATTCTTCCCTTGATGGACATTTGGGTTTTCATCTCTGTCCTTGTGTGAATAGTGATGCCATTAACATTCGTGTAAAATTGTTTAAGTATCTGTTTTCAATTCTTGGGGCACTATAACTAGGAATGGAATTAGTAGATTATACGGTAATTCTATGTTTAAATATTTACCAAACATCCAATTATTTTCTATAGCTTCTATATCATTTTATATTCTTACCAAAACTCTGTGGGGGTTCTAATTTTCTCACATAATTACCAACAGTTATTGTCCCCCTCTTTTATAAATGAAGCCATTCTATTGGTGAAGTGCTATTACATGGTATTTGGTGGGTTTTGTTGTTGTTATGGTTGTAATGGTTTTGGTACAGGGAAATAAACTCCAAGGTGGTTTACCACTGATCTTCTGCCATTTTTTTTTATGTAGGGCCAGAGTCTCACTAAATTTCCCAGGGTGCCCTCAAACTTGCAATCCATTTGCCTTAGTCTCCTGAGTCCCTTGAATATAAGCATGTATCTATTTTTAGACAGAAAAAAAAAGAGAGAGAGAGAGAAAGACATCAATGTGCCTCTAATAGAATTTCACTGAAAGAAATTTTAAGAACTGTAAAGATGGAAGAAAGAAAACTGACCCAGTATTAAGGTCTGAGATGCAATGTCAACTAATAATTTATAGTATACAAATGAAACTAGATATAGTGAAAATTACTAAAACTATTGAACAAAACCCAGATGCCTATACAGAAAAAAAATCCACAAAGTACTTGATAACTATTTACTTTGTTTTAAGATACTATTTTAAACCTATCTTAATGGTTTTTTTTTTGTCAGAGAAGAAATGTTATGAATTAGAAAAAAAAATTAAGGAATGTGTCAACTTTGCTTTAGATTAGTTTAGGCAGAAACTGACCTTTGTTTCTCCATTTAGTTTTTAGACTTTTAATTATTTGAGTGTCACCACTGATTAGCACCAAAGGACTGATTGTGCCATAGCCATTGGCTAAGGGCATTTGGAGACCAAGCAGGATGGGGTCACTGGTACACACTGTGCCTGTGAAGAGGGAGATGATTCAGTCCACACAGTATAGGATCTCAAAGCAGCTGATGAGCAACAGGATGGTATGAGTGGCCCTTTGTTCTGGGGAACTTCTTGGAGAAAAATGAGGGCTATGGAGAGACTTGGATCGTTGTTTATGTCTATGCAAGAGAATTATCATGTATGCACTGGAAAGAACCATAAGACCCAGAAATAGGAGATCTCTGAATGCCATGAAAGCAAGAAACAAGGTCCTGCTCCTGTAGCTCATGAGCAGAAAGGAACAGCGGTCAGTGAGAAACAGAAACCCAGGCTGGGTCTTATTGGGAGTGTCCACAGTGCAGAGGAGCAGGTTGCTGGAGAGGGACATGGTGAGGAACCATAAGAAGATAAATAGCCCCACAATGGGATTTGTGGATTTCAGTTTAAAGTGGGCCAACCAGGAGCCACTGGGGCTGATGGTGATGGCCTGAAGCACACTCAGGACACAGGTGATGCAGATGGAGAGTCCCCTCATGACCCTGTTTAGGAAGGCAAGCACTTTGCATTTGAAGTCACCTGGAATGTCCTGTGTTTCCCAAATGTCTGCAGATACCAAAAGGCCCATGGTAAGGAGCATGAGGATGTGGGTTAGAGCCAGGTGGGTGACAGGGAGGTCGGTGAGCCTGGGCTTGTTACCCACAAGGACAGCAGCAGTGTGGAGACAAAGCAGAAAGGTGTTTTCTGAGATCCCAATGCCAGCCTGGGGATAGAAGGGATTTCGTATGACAACATAACTGAAATGTTGGTCCATCTTCATCAGTATCTTGGGAAGAAAAACAGAAGCATTTGACAGCAACAGCTTTTCATTGACATACTTCCAGTCCATCTGCCACCTTTACAATGTCTAGAATCATGATTAACAACAACTATCTTTGTAAAGAAGACAGGGTCTTATTCTTCACCTTAATTTCAAGTTAAGGGCTGGTTTGTGGTTCCAAGGTAGATCACTGGCCTACCAGGAATGGAGAGCTGGCTTTATCCCAAACTCTAAAATAGGAAAAAGTAAATAAAATATAAATTAAATATGAATTTTATCTCAAGCATTTGTAATTCTTCTGAGGAATGATTTTGTACACTCCCTATAATTTCATGGAAGTGCTCAGATCTTACTCTTGTCATTGAACCTGTATACCTCAGGTTTTCCTTAACAGCATAAATTATGTGATTTAGTGGTCAGACTTTCTATCTTCCCTGAAGATTTTTTAAAGATGAAGATGCTATTGTATTTGGCTTTGATCTGAAGTATTTAAAATATTGCTGCTTATATAAAAAAATATTTTCCACAACCTGTTGATGCAAAGTTAAGATAAGCAGAAATAGGAGTCTTGTCCTGGGGTTTAGCTCTGTAGTATAGCAATTGCCTAGCCACTGGGGTCAGTCATGGCCCCCAAACAAAAATAAATAAATAAAAATATTGTGTCCATCTACAACTAAATTATATATATATATATATCTCCAGGAAAATAATATCAATATGCCCATTCCCATGGTTTCTTTATTCAAGTGTAGAATTGTAAAGAGTTTAGTAATGTTTTTTTGTCCTCAGACTTGGCCTTCATTTAATTCAGGTCCCACAATTTACTGTGAGGATACTGTCATCATACCTAATGATTTGTGCCTCAGTGTATATCATCCGTTAATGTGGGTCAGGTTAGTACTTTCCTTCTGGTATTGTTGGAGTGAGTAATTAAATGTGTGCTTGATATATATAAAGCACAAAAAATCACTCATTATTGTTTTGTTATTTGTCTCTAATCTTGTTGTGGGAGAGTATATGCAATATGTTCAAGATTTTTTAGTATAGGTAAAAAATGCCCATGTAAGATTGGCTTCCTTTGGCAAAAATTTGATTCTTAAGTCCTGTAGTATTGGACATTATTTTCTTCTCATTTTATAATTTCTACATGCAATAAACATAGATGTTTCCACATTCCAATTTTCTTCCAGGGGAACATGTAGAGAGCTGGTGGGGTCTCCTTCTCAATTTTTATCTCTGCTTAGAATTGCCACAGTGTATTTTTCCATTTTTGTTAGGTGTTTTGTATCAGTGATGAAAATGGAAAGATCACAATGAACACTATGAAATACAGATTATGCTCAGATCCTATTTTGAAAATTCACACTCTAATAAAACATAAAATCTTGACAACATCAACAAATTTCTAGAGACACATGACCTACCCAAATAGAATCAGGAGGACACAGAAAATTAAAAGAGATCAAACTCAAGCAATGTAATACAATACACCACCAAAAGCCTACCAAGAATAAAAGACCAGGACCAGATGGACTCTTGGTGGAGTCTACCGGACCTTGAGAAATAAATACCACCAGTCCTCCACAAATCATCCCATAAAATAGAAAAGGAGGTAACCCTTTCAAACTCACTCTAAAAATCTAGAATCACCCTGATAGCAAAAGCAGACAAATACACACCAAGGAAAAATTCTGATTAATATTCCTAATAAACATACATGAAAAAATTATTTATAAATTACTGGAAAATCACCTTCAAAAACATATTAAAACATAGTGCACCAGGTTCATGTGGGGTTCATCCCAGGGATGTGAGGTTGGTTTAACATACAGAAATCAATAAACATAATTCAGCATGTTAATTCACTTACAGACAAGAACCACATGATTATATCAATAGATGCAAAAACACCACACACACACACACACACACACACACACACACACTTGACTAATTACAGCATCCATTCCTATTCAAAACAATAGAAAAACTAGGGACAGTAGGAACATATATGAACTTTATAAAAGCTACATGGTAAACCCAAGATCAACATCAATTAAATGAAAAATTAAAAGCATGCTGTATAAAGGTAGAAACAAGAGAATGATGTCCCCTTTCACCACTTCTATTCAACATAGTCCTGAAAACTCTAGCCAGATCAGTTACACAAAAGAAATATTCAGGGATATGAATAGGAAAATAAAAACACAAACTATCACCATTTACAGATGACATGTTGCTGTAATCAGAAGATCCAAAAATTCCACCAGAAAACTTATTGAACACCTATCCTGCACAGTGACAGAATATGAAATTAACACCCACAAATTAATTGTGTTCTTATACATCAGGAATGAATCAACTGAAAGAGAAATTAGGAAAATTATTTCAGTCACAATAGCCTCAAAGAAAATAAAGTATTTGTGAATCAATTGAACAAAAGAGGAGAATGTCCTACACCATGAAATCTACATCAAACTAAGGAGAGAAATTGAAAAAGAACTTAGAAGATGGAAATATCTCCCATGTTGTTGGATATGCAGAATTAATATGGTCAACATGGTCATATGACCAAAAGCACCGCACATATTCAGTGTAATTCCCATTAAGGTTCTAATGTTGTTCTTATAGAAACAGAAAAAGCAGTCATGAAATTCACTTGGAATAATAAGAGACCCAGAATAGACAAAGCAATTCTCAGCAAGAAAAGTAAAACAGGAGGCATCACCATACCAGACCTTAACTTATATTACAGAGCTATAGTAACAGAACAGCATGGTATTGGCACCAAAACGGGCTTGAAGACAAATGGTACAGAATAGAAGATAAAGAGAAGAAAACCACATGAATGCAGTGATCTCATACGAGACAAAGGCACCATAAACATACATTGAAGAAAAGACACTCTTTTCAAAAAAAAGGTGCTGGAAATCAATGTGTAAAAAAATAAAATTAGACTCCTATCTCCCGTGCTGATCAAAATTTAATTCAATGTGGATCAAGGATCTAAACATTAGACCTGAGAAATTGCACCCATTACACAAAAATGTAGGCTCAAATCTCCAACTGACTTCTTTAAAAATACTTTTAAAACAAAAGAATTATAACCCTTTCTCAAATTAAATACAAAATGGTGCTGTGGATATGAATAAGTGGTTGTGTGTTCCTGAGTTTAATCCACACTAACCCCTACTCCTCCCACCAAAAAAAAGAGTAATTTCATGGGATGGTATCAAATTAGAAAGTTTCTTTACAGAAAAGAAAACAAGCAAGATGTGAAGAGAGAGCCTAGAGAATTTGAGAAAATCTTTTCAACCTGCACCTCAGAGAGAGAGCACTAATCATCAGGACATATAAAGAAATAAAAATATGAATAAAACAGATAGCCCAATTAATAAATTGGCAAAGAAGTGAGCAGGCACATCACATAAGAAGAAATATGAATTGTCAACAAATATATGAAGATTTTAAACATTTTAAGTTCTATAAATTTATGTAAAAATACAAATTGTTGGACTTTGAATTATTATTCCTCATGAGTCCTTATACTTTAAAATCACTCATGAAGACAATACATATAATATTATAAATTTTTATAATAAAACAAAATAAAATCCTATATATTACATGAAAATTACTCCCTGCCTTAAACTTAAAGAGGTCCTGTAGCACATTAGGAAAAGTACCTGTGTCCTGGTTATGGTGTGGCAAGAGTCAGATGTAACAATGCATTCCTCCAGTTCCTACCTAGGAGCTTCCCCTTCCTTCTCTTCCACTTAGATTTTGAGCTGTGCCTTCCAAGATGAGGTTATATGGAGCACATAGCTTAAGCTCATTTCTCAATAGACTCCTAATCTTGTTGCATCTAAAATCTGACAGCATCTGTCTTGCAGAATCAGAGAAGGCATCCTCAAAGGAATAGAAAACTACTACTTCCATTCTCAGACAATGGTAAACAAGCCCCATCTGGATGAAAACTTTTTGCATGTGTAGCTCTCATTTTCCAAAGCAAGTGACCTTGGGTTTTGATGGGTACCAATCATAGAAAACATATCTTAGCTCACTAAAATGGATACAAGTGGGGTATAGCCTGGCAAAAAAGAACAAATTATGAAAACTAGATTGTCAGATATGAAGAAATATAAATTAGGAAGATGGATTTCTCAGGTCTGTGTGCTGAAAAAAAAACTCATAGCCATGACATTCAGATATCAATAAATTTGCCTCCCAAATTTGATTTCTACATACTTTGAGCCAGTAAATCCAGTGAGTTAGGAAACTGAGTCAGGAAGATCACAAGTTTAGAACCAGCCACAGCAACTTAGCAAGACCCTAAGCAACTGAAAGAGACCTTTTCTCAAAATAAAAAATATAATAATAATTAAAACTTTTAAAAAGGCTTGGGAATGTGCCTCTGTGGTTAAGCACCCCTGGGTTCAATCCCTGGTACCACAACAAATAAATCCCTTTGTTGAGAGAAGGAAATATATATCTATCACCTGAGCCATGCTTGGATATGGACTGGATGTATTCTCAGGTTTAAATACACAGTCCTCATGGAACATTTCTGGTCCCACCTAAGCTGGAAGGTGTAAATTCGAGCTTAGCCATGAGCAGGTTGGTGTGAGAAATTTGGATTAGGACTTGCTCCTTCCCAGTTTCAGAAATTACAAAAGAGAATGATTTTCCTGTTACATGGGACAAGCCAAATGCCTACTGCTGTGCTCACTGACAACTCTGTCTCATGACCATATGAGCTTCGTGTATTTATCCAACAATGTGCACTCTTCTCCTCTTTGCATGAGTTCACTTGCTGAATTCCTACCAAAGCTTGACAGGTAAAGTGTTCTCATTTAATGGGTAACATGAAAGAAGTGAGATGGACTATGAAAAACCCATTTTAGAACACTATTTCCTGAAGCACAGGTGGAGTAAAATACCACTAGATCAATTTTTGTTTTAATATGAAGGAGTCACTTGTTAGGAAACAGAGAGACAGATTCTCGGTGTAGGGATGTGAGGGTGTGTGAGCTTCCTTGAGCATTCAAGGTACTAATTTCCTGTCTAAG